CATCAAACAATATCATGGTCTCCTCATTGTCTATCCTTATGTCTTTGATGGAGTTGAGGAATTCTTGGGCTGAGTGGATTGAGTGGGGTGACTTGTTAACTAGGTGCCTGAGTCTCCTTTGTAGTTCCTTGGCTAATCTGTGTGATGGAGTGCCTGGTAGGGAGACTATGGGTCTAAGGGGGACTTCCGGCTTGTGCACTTTCGGGAGGCTGTAGAATCGGGGTCTGTTGGTTCCTTTGGGTTTCATTCTTAAGAAGTCTGCTTTGTTGATCTGTCCCATCTGTTCAAGTCTTTTTAGTGTGTAGAGAATTTTGTTGCCTAGTTGTGGTGTTGGGTCAGTTTGTACTGGCCGATATGTGTTTCCGTCGGCGAGCAGTGCCTGTGCCTTGGAGATGTAGTCCCTTTTGTTCAGTATCACTGTCATGCGTCCTATGTCTGTGGGTAGAATTGTGATGTTCTTGACCTTCTTCAGTCCTTCTAGGGCCTGTCTTTCCAATGTGTTGAGGCTGTTGAGTTCGCTCCTTCTGGTTAGTGTCGGGATTACTGTCTATCTTATCGTTTGTTGAATTTCGTGGTTGATATTGTTGGTCCTTAGTGTGGCTTCCAGTGTGGCTAGAAATTCTGTTTTGTTGGCGTCCCTGTAGTTGTAGTTCAGTCCTCGGGTGAGAACGGCTTTTTCCGCGTCTGTCAGTTTCCTGTCAGAGAGGTTTTTTATCCAGGTGTCTGTTCTGTTGTTAACAAGGTGTAGAGCTGGATGAACACAGCAGGCCAAGCAGCATCAGAGGAGCAGGAAAGCTGATGTTTCGGGCCTAGACCCTGCTAGCATCTGCAGTTCCTACTATGTCTGTTCTGTTGTTGTCATTTTTGTGGGGAAGTGTGGCTAGCTTATCTTGAAGGGTCTGGCTTTTCTTGGCTCTTCTGGTCTGTTGGCTAATGTTGATGGCTCGTTCCATGTCCATTGTCCAGTCTTGATTGGTAGCCTCAACACCCACAACCCGAGCTACAAATCTATCCAAAACCTTAGTAAGTCCACTTCTTAAGTCTCTGTTGTTCTTCTGAGTTTGGAACTTAACCAGTGTCAGAACAAAAAGGATGTTTTTATTCAGCAGTTTGTATGCTGTACATAGTGCAGCTGCTAGAGATCATCTCTGATGTCATCCTGCCCTAAACTACTTCCAACTCTGTCATTGATATTAGGTCTGGTAGAGTGGGTGTCTGTATCTCCTGTAAAAACCAGAGAACTCACCCACCTGCAGATTCCTTGAGAAAGAGCCTCAAACTGATAAAGGAAAAGGAAATCTTCAATCTTCAGGAATCCAAGAATTCCAGCTTTGACCTTACCCCCGTTCCCAGTGAGGTCCAATTATGCTCTTCAGAGGCTGATATAACTCCTCCCCATTAAATATGCAGGATGTGGGAACTGCCAATTAAGGATTATGTCATCACCAGGCCTGCCCCCTCTTCTAAATTGCACCTTGCTTTGTAAATTATTCATCCTGACCATCCAAGTAAGGCCATAATCCAGTGTAAATGGCTCCTGGTGAATTTTGCAGCCTCTCACAAGCCCAGTAGAAGAACTAAGGAACTTTTGCCTTGTTACGCCCCTCAAACTCCAATAATAAAGCAGAGATTACCGATAGGCTTCTGTTTTGTTACGTTGAGAGCAGATACAATTTTAAAGCTCTTATAAAATTGATTCCACTTTGTTAACAGATCAATTCAAAAATGTTGAAATTATCCTAGCATTACTTCAAAATTTAGGAGCAATTGTTTCAATTGTATTTTCTTCAAAGTTCTGAATAAATAACGCGTGTAAATGTTGCTTTCTTAAGGAGTACCTTTTTGTTTGAAGATATTTTTTCATATGATTCATTTAATTTTTTTGCTGGAGTATTGTTTGTTTAATTCAAGACCTGTGTACCAACATGCTCTCACCAAAGGGAAATTAACAATTTTTCCTGTCCTTTTCTTAGTAACTACTTATAAAAGTAAATTCATCACAAATTGTTTCAACACTTACCTTAAAATTGCAGTAGTAAATTGTATTGCACCACCTTGTTTTCTCTAATCGTGTATTGTTACTTTGTGTAAAATTGTATCTGCAAAATGTCTAATCATTTTACCATTCCCTTTATGTCCTCCTAAATTGTTTCCAATCCTCTTCTCTCACTGCATGTCAATCTGTAGATTTTAAAATTGTGTGCTTTACATCCAAGCTGAGGTCAATAATATGTCAAAAAAAATTAGTGCCCCAAATTCCATCTCCTCGGAGGAACACTACTGTTTACTTCCTGCAAGTTTGTAAAATTCACCATTGCATTTTACTGTCTTTTTATCAGCCAAGTTTGTATCCACACTACAACTGCCTTTTTTAATTCGAATGGCTTCAATTTTGCTTAAATGTCTGTTATATGGTAGCTTATAAAATGCATTTTGAAAATCCGTATCATTCTTCTCCCCTCAGTAAATAACTCAATCAAGTTGGTTAAAAATAATTTGGCTTTAACAAATTCATGCTGTCATTCATTAACCCATAATGTTTCAAGTGACAATTTTGTTGCAGTTTATTGCCTTAAAAATTTCCCCACTACCAATGTTAGGCTGTCTGGTCTGCAGTTGCCTGGTCCACCTCTGTACCTTTTGAGACTGATGTGCAGTGTGGGCAGGAGTGAGGGTGGGAGGGGTTTGAGGTGGAGCAAGCAAAGGAAAATTGACTGGAAGAGGAGCCTAGCAGGAAAGACAGCGGAACAGCAATGGCACGAGTTTCTGGGAGTAATTCAGGAGACACAGCAAAAACTCATCCCTAGGAAAAAGGAGCATGGTACAGGGAGGATGAGGCAACCATGGCTGACTAAGGAAGTCAGGGATGGCAAAATAGCAAAAGAGAAAGCATATAATGTGACGAAGGGCAGTGGGAAGCCTGAGGACTGGAAGCTTACAAAGACCAACAAAGGGCAACAAAAAAAGAAATAAGCAGGGAGAAGATTAAATATGAGGGTAAGCTAGCCAGTAATGTAAATGAAGACTGTAAGAATTTCTTTAGATAAATGAAGGGCAAAAGAGAGGCAAAAGTGGACATTGGACCACAGGAAAATGACAGTGGAGAGATAGTAGTGGGGAACAAGGAAATGGCTGAGGAACTGAATAATTACTTCACGTCAGTCTTCATGGTGGAAGACACGAGTAATCTCCCAAAAATTCAAGAGAGTCAGGGGGCAGAGCTGAGTATGGTGGCCACCACCAAGGAAAAGATGCTAGTAAAACTGATTGGCCTGAAGGTGGACAAATCAGCTGGACCAGAGACTACACCCCAAAGTTCTAAAGGGGATAGCTGAAGAGAGAGTGGAAGCGTTAGTGGTGATCTTTCAGAAATCACTCGAGTCAGAGAGGGTCCCAGAGGACTGGAAAATCATTAATGTGACACACATGTTTAAAAAGGGAGTAAGGCAAAAGATGGAAAATTACAGTCTGATTAGCCTAACCTCGGTCGTGGGTAAGATTTTGGAGTCCATTGTAAAGGATGAGATTTCTGAATATTTTGAAGTGTATGGTAAAGTCAGCATGGTTCCATCAAGGGGAGGTCATGCCTGACAAATCTGCTAGAATTCTTTGAGGAAGTAACAAGCAGTGTAGACCAAGGAGAGCCAATGGATGTTATCTACCTGGACTTCAAGAAGGCCTTTGACAAGATGCCGCACAGGAGGCTGCTGAGTAAGATAAGGGCCCATGGTGTTAGAGGCAAGGTGCTAGCATGGATAGAAGATTGTCTGTCTGGCAGAAAGCAGAGAGTGGGGATAAAAGGGTCTTTCTCAGGATGGCAGCCACTGACAAGAGGTGTTTTGCAAGGGTCAGTGTTAGAACCACAACTTTTCACTTTATACATTAATGATCTAGATGAAGGAACTGTGGGCATTCTGGCTAAGTTTGCAGATGATACAAAGATAGGTGGAGGGACAGGTAGTATTGAGGATGTGGGGAGGCTGCAGAAGGATTTGGACAGGTTAGGAGAATGGGCAAAGAAGTGGCAGATGGTGTACAATGTGGGAAAGTGTGAGGGCATGTACTTTGGTAAGAAAAATAAATGCATGGACTATTTTCTAAATGGGGAGAAAATTCAGAAGTCTGAAGTGCAAAGAGACTTGTAAGTTCTAGTCCAGGATTCTCTCAAGGTAAACTTGCAGGTTGAGTCAGTAGTCAGGAAGGCAAATGCAATGTTGGCATCTAATTTGAGAGGACTTGAATATAAAAGCAGGGATGTATTTGGAGTATTATGTGCAGTTTTGGGCCCCATATCTCAGGAAGGATGTATTAGTCCTGGCGTGGGTTCAGAGGAGGTTCACGAGAATGGTCCCAGGAATGGAAAGCTTAACATATGAGGAATGTTTGAGGACTCTGGGACTATACTCATTGGAGTATAGAAGGATGAGGGGGGATCTAATTGAAACTTAACAGAATACTGAATGGCCTAGACAGAGTGGATGTTGGGAAGATGTTTCCATTGGAAGGAGAGACTAGGACCTGAGGGCAAAGCCTTAGAGTAAAGGGAAGACCTTTTAGAATGGAGATAAGGAGAAACTTCTTCAACCAGAGAGTGGTGAATCTATGGAATTCACTGCCACAGAAGGCTGTGGAGGCCAGGTCATTGAGTACATTTAAGACTGAGATAGATAGGTTCTTGATTATCAAGGGGATCAAGGGTTACGGGGAGAAAGTGGGAGAATGGGGTTGAGGAACTTATCAGCCATGATTGAATGGTGGAGCAGACTCGATGGGCCGAATGGCCTAATTTCTGCTCCTATGTCTTATGGTCTTATGGAAAAGTGCAGAATGCAGCCTGCTTTGAATCAGCGCATGTCTGAGATGTGTATTTACAGCAGCAGTTAATTTTTTTGCTGTGATTTATTCTTTTACTCATTTAAATATGTATTTTAAATGACTCCTTATCATGTTTTCTATCAGTTACTTAGAGTTGCTTCTGTTTGTATCTGTTTTTCTCTAAGCATTGTAAAGAAGCTGGCACAATACACAGCAGATATTATGGAAGATTCGAAGGATAAAGCTCAAGAGAACCTATTAGCTAATGGAGGTGGGTTCCATAAAATATACTATCATGTATGTCTTTCAAAGGTGAATGTTACTCAACAAGATGCTGCAGCTTTAAAAGATAGATGATGTATATGATTCAAAAACGTAATGCTTTTAGGTTCCCTGCGATTAAAGTTAGTGAATATATTTGTTGTATACCAGAATTTTATATGTACTTAAAAATAATCACATATTTAAGCCCAACATCTTTATCTCTTCAATCAGTGCACATATTAATTTTGTAAAGTCTCTTCCAGAAATAATACCTATACTCAATTCTTGTTTAATATTGCCTTGCATTTGGTAATGGCGTCAATGCGACATCTCTGGCTCTGCAATACTTGCACAGAGCTTATACTTCTACTGAAGGATTCCTATAAGACCATAAGAGATAGAAACAGGAATAGGCCATTCGGCCCATTGAGCCGGCTCTGCCATTCAATAGGATCATGGCTGATCCAACATTCTTCACATCCACTTTCCTGCCCTTTCCCCGTAACCCTTGATTTCCCTACTTATCAAGAACCTATCCATCTCAGCCTTAAATATACACCAAAACTCTGCCCCCACTGCTTTCTGTGGCAAGAAGTTCCAAAGATTTACAACTTTCTGAGAGAAGAAAGTCCTCCTCATCTCTGTCTTAAATTGCTCCCCTTAATTCTGAGACTATGCCCTCTGGTCCTAAACTCTTCCCATGAAGGGAAACATCCTCACAGCATTTACCCTGTCAAGCCCCTTAAGAATCCCATGTGTTTCAATGTGATCACCTCTCAATTTTCTAATCTCCGATGAGTAGAATCCCAACCTGCTTAATCTTTGCTCGTAAGGCAGTCCTTCCTTTCTGGGGATCATCCTAATGAACTTTCTCTGAACTGCCTTCGATTAAAATAATATCTTCAATTCAATAAAGGGACCAAAACTGCTCACTGTATTCCAAGTGTGGTCTGACCAGCAACTTGTACAGTTGCAGTAAGACTTCCCCACCTTTACACTCCAATCCCGTTGAAATAAGGGCCGACATTCCAATATTGCTTCCTCATTACCTTCCAAACTTGTGTGCTAGCTCTCCGCGTTTCATGCAAAAGTCCCCCCAAGTCCACTTGCGTTGCAGCTTTCAGTAGTATTTCTCTAATTAAATAATCTTTTGTTCTTGCTGCACGACTGCATATTTTCCTACATTATATTCCATTTGCAAACTTTTTGCTGACTTACTTAACCCATCAATATCTCTCTGCAAACTGAATCTGTGTCCCTTTCTCAACTTGCCTTTCCATCTATTTTTGTGTCAGTAAATTTGGCTACTTTGCATTCCTTTCCTTCCTCCAAGTCATTAATAGATATTGCAAATAGTTGTGGTCCCAGCACTAATCCTTGTTGAACCCCACTGTCACAGGTTGCCAACCTAAAAAAGAACCTCTTATTACTACTCACTGTTTCCTGCCCATGAACCAATTTTCTATCCATGCCAATTTTCCTCCAACACCGTGGGCTCATGTCTTATGATTTGAACTTTTGAGAGGTACCTTGTGGAATGCCTTCTAGAAGTCCAAACAACATGTCTACTGATTCCCCTCTATCAACTCTGGCTGAGATTTCCTCAAAACACTCTAATAAATTAGTCAGACTCAATTTCCCTTTCATGAAGCCATGCTGACTCTGCTTGTCTTGAAATCATGAGTCTTGAATTTCAAATATTGTCTAAAATTAAAATTTGACCTCTGCTTGAATGGTGGTATCTTGCTTGGATGAAGTTGAACATTACATTTCAAACAACTGGGAATAGTATTTTCTGTCTACAAATGCCTTTCTGCATATGTGACATTTATAATTGATGACAATCTAGCACATTCTTTAAACAGCGCACTAAGAATGAAAATTTTGAAAACTGGAGAATGAGAAAATACTACAAAGTGGCACATAGTGCTGGAATTGCTAGGTTGATAACCTGATTTTTCTGTATTTTGAATTTAAGTACAGTATGATTAGCACCAGTTTTTATATCTCCAATTCATTAACTAGAAAGGAATCAGGTTTCATCAACTGGTGATAATTAAAAATGGATTTCTATACCAGTGCATTGTTGTGCTGCTTCAAGTACTAAACCTCCAGTCTTACTCTGCTGTCTCTTCTTTTAGTTGCTGCTGCTCCCTTCTAACTTTTTCTCTCTCTCCTTAAGCTCCAAGGTCAGATCTACCAGACCTCCCATGACTAGAATAAAATCATTCTAAAACAGTCCATGGCCATCACAAAGCCATTCCCAAATGTCAGACAACTCGTGAAATGAAGCTGATAGTTTTTAATCAGTCTGCTCTGTTCAGGCATGTTATGACACATGTCTGGGTGAGATGCAACTTGAATGCATACCTTCTGGGTATAGAGATTGGGACACTTCCACTGTGCCATAGGACCCTCTAACATTAAACACGTATGGAGTGAAGAAAATAGACAAAAATAAGACAAGCAAGCTAACTAGCAGCCTAATTGACCAACCTAGTGACTAACCTGGTTAAAGTGAATGAACTCTTTAAGTAGGTTCCTGAATGTCCAGGTTAATTGTTAGCACCATGATTTTATGGCTAACTTAAATCCATGATGAATTCAATGGTGGAGAAAAGTAATTTTGCTCAAAGAACCCTAGAATAAGTATAAGTCAGTGAACTTTACGATGAGGCTTTCTTTTATGCTGAGTGTCAACAGAGCAGTCCAATCTAATATATTTGGGTGCAGTTATGGAAAAAGCCGTTATATTTATCACTAGTGCATCTTCTGCAGCTTGAAGTTAATTTCTAGTTACTAGCTGGTTACAAAAATGAAAATCACTGTGAGTCATAATGTTATGTGGCCTGTGGCCTACACCTGACTCATTATTGACATTATTGAACTTCTACCTTGACCATATTTTGATTCAGCATACATTTCTTTCCATTTAGCAACAATATAATTACAATTTTGGTGCTGCATCATTATTGGTTTTATGTAAAAGCTTTAAGACTAAGGAGCAAACTTGCGATATGTCACAGTGGTCCTCCCTACATGGCATGAATAGCACTGTGTGGTTATTGTTAAGTTAGAATGAAGGGAGAAACGCATGCAGAGAATAGTCTTTCAATAAAATAACAGTAAAATTAGAGCCTGGTAGACCTCAACTTGACATGTATAAGAGTACTTAATATGTAATAAGCAGAGTTCTAAAAAAGCTTAAATCTAAAAACAATTCTTGACCTTGCCTTCTTCTTGATCAGTCTATGTTGAATCCAAACTCAGATTTGGACATAAAACTGCACAACAGAAGACTATCAGTGTTAACTTCTGGTGACCATACAAGTACAACCTAGTATTTAGCAGCCCAGATCCATTTAATAATTACTGATGAACTCCCAGCTATTATTCATGGGTGAACCTTGTGTAACACATTTATTTGAGAATGTAACAAGCAGGATAGATAAAGGGGAAGCAGTAGATCTGACATATTTGGATTTTCAAAAGGTGGGGTATCACACATTAGGCTGCTTAATAAAATAAGAACCCATGATGTTGGTGATTGTATATTAGCATGGATAGAGGATTGGCTAACTAATAGAAAACAGATTTTGGATAAGGGTGATATTTTCAAGATGGAAACCTGTAACTAATGGAGCATTATAGGAATCTGTGATAGGCCCACAATTATTTACAATATATATTAATGATTTGAATGTATAAAATGAATGTATAATAGCCCAGAATGCAGATGGCACAAAAATAGATGGGCAGGCAAGTTGTGAGGATAACTCGGAGTCTGCAGAGGGATATAGACAGGTAGGTAGGCAAATAGGCAAAAAACCTGCAGATGGAAAATAATGTAGGGAAATGTGAAGTTATGCACATTGACAGGGAGACTGGAGGAGCTGAATATTATTTAAATAGAGAAAGACTACAGAAAGATACAGCACAGAGGGATTTGAGAGTTCTGGCACATAAGTCACAAAATGCAAGCTTACAAGTTCAGCAGGTGAAATTTCTTCTCTGAGAGGGTTGTGACTTTCTGTAATTCCTTATCAGAGGGGGCTGTAGAGGTTAGGTCATTAAATATAAAGGTCATGGTTGAGAGAGACGGATTTTTCATCAGTAAAGGAATCAGGGCTGTAGGGAAGAGGCTGGAAAATGCAGTTGAAGATTATCAGATCAACATGCTCCCATTGAATGGCAGAGCAGACTCGATGGGCTGAAGAGCCTTTTTCTGTTCCTATGCCTTGTGTTCTAATGGAGATTAGCAGAGTAATGCACAAATGGCTAAAATTGGTGACTTACACATACAGTTTCTCTGGGGTTTTCACAGGTTTCTCATTGAAATTGTTGTGTGAGCAGAAGAACTTCCCCAATGAATTTCTCCCATAAACAGCTTTCTATATCTATGTAAATGTTTAGTACAATATTAATACTGTTTCACAGAATGCTTTTTCATGGTGGCTGAATTTATATTCACCATTATTAACAACAATGTTACATTCATTTCTCTCGTGTATGAGTGCAGACAAAAATTGTGTGTTTTGAAATATAAACAAAACAGGAACAGGTTTAAACCATTTGACCTATCAAGCCTACTTTGCTGTTCAGTAAGGTCATGGTTAATTTGGATGTGATCGTAACTCCACTTCTTGTCTTGCCCTCTTCCACCTTCCCCAACCCCCAGTCCCCCTTGAATATATTCAATATCCTAGCCTCTATTACTCTCTGTCAGGCAAATTCCAAAGTCTGAGGACAATCTGACAGATGAAATTCCTCCTCATTTCCAGCAAAAAAATTGGAAACCTGTTTTGTTTGGACTGTGTCCGTTAGTTCTAGATTGTCCCACAAGGGGAAACATCTGCTCAGCTTCAACTCTGTCAGGCCCTGCAGAATCTTGGAAAGTTCAATATGATGAACTCATTCATCTCAATCCAAATGAGTATAGGCCTAACCTCCTCAACTTTTTGTAATAAGATGACACCATCATCCCTGGCATCAGCCTAGTGAACCTTC